TTGTGGATTTTTGTTTTTATGTGTGTGTGTGTTTTTAAGGTTTTGTTTTTTTTGCTTTTACTGGGGCTTTAACTCAAGCTAAACAAGCCCACTGTCTCCACAGGTGTCTTACTTTTGTTTTATCTTTGCTGGAGAAACTTGGGTTGGATAGATAACTGTTTCTTCCATAAACAAAATACCATACCAAATAAGTATGAATTCCAGTCAAATGGAAAAGTGTGATTCTGGGCCATAGACATAACTCCATGGTACAGTACTAGTCTAGCATGTGTTACGTCCTGAATTTTTGATTCCCAGCAAAGACAGGGGGCGGAGGGGTGGGTGGCGGAAAGAGGGGAGGGGAGAGGGAGAGAGAGAGAGAGAGAAAGAGAGAGAGAGAGAAGGAAAGGAAAAGGTAGGGAGGAAAAGAGGAAGAGGCAAGAACATAGGAAGACCAAAGTGTGAGACAAGTCTATCAGCCCTACCCCCTTTCTGAGGAAAGTTCCAGAGCATTCTTTTGCTCTGAGTCTTCTTTTTATAAGCCACACAGACCTGGAACTAAAGACAATTGCTCGTGCTGTCTCAGTCACACTCCTATCTGGCTTTCTAGCTTATATTTTCTTTAGGAGGACCTAGTTTAATGTTTCACATTTCTGACTAAGGGGAAAATCTCTTCAAAGAGAGGAAGCTCTTCACTTACATGCAAAGGGGTGTCTGTGAAAAGATAGAATTGTAAGTGAACTGACCCTTTGATGTGGCCACTGTGGATGTGAACAAAAGAAAGATCTAAGATTTTATGAGTTGGTAAGCAAAGCTGGGTTCACAGTATACAGCTCAATACGTCTGAGTTAGCTTATTGTTACACATGAACACATTGTTGGGTGCCAGTGGCTCACACTTGTAATTCTAGCTACCAAGGAGGCTGAGATATGCAGATCACAGTTTTGGGTAGGAAAAGTCCAAAAGACTCAGATCTCTAATTAACCACAAAAAGCCTGAAGCAGAAATGTGGTTCAAGTGGTAGAGTGCTAGTCTAAAGCAAACGAGCTCAGGGCCCAGTCCTTGTGTTCAAGTCCTAGGACACACACACACACACACACACACACACACACACACACACAGAGCCATCTAGCCAGACATTGGTGGCTCATGCCTATAATCCTTGTTACTCAGGAGGCAGAGATCCAAGCCTTCTGGTTGGCAGCCAAATAGGGCAGAAAATTCCATGAGACTTTTATTCCAATTAACTGCTAAAAGGTAGGTAGAAGTGGAGCCATTGCCTAAGTAATATAGTACCAGCCTTGATCGAAAAAGCTAAGAGAAGGGCTGGGAAGGTGGCTCAGTGGTAGAGCACTTGCCTTGCATGCCTGAGGCTCTGGGTTTGATTCCTCAGCACCACATAAAGAAAAAGCTGGAAGTGGCACTGTGGCTCAAGTGGTAGAGCACTAGCCTTGAGCTGAAGAGCTGAGGGACAGCACCCAGGCCCAGAGTTCAGGCCCCACGACTGGACCACCCCCACAAAAAAACTAAAAAAAAAGAAAAAGAAAAATGTAAGAGACAGTGCCCAGGCCCTAAGTTTAAGCCACAAGTACATACACACACACACACACACACAAACAATTATGACAAAAAACTTAATTGAGAACCACATTTATCAGTGTGTGTTCCTTGGGCTACCTGAAATCGAAAAACATGGAGGCCTTGTTTACAATGTAGACTCTAGTGTTTAGCTCCAGTCTCTTGGAGTCTGGATCTTTAGAATGGAGTCTACATTTTTAATCTCTCTCCCCACTCCTGGGTGACTCTGATATACTTTAGAGTACTCTAGCCATTCTGTGTCCACTAGTAAAGATTATAGCAAACATTCCTATCATGACTTCACAAAGATTAGCACAGCAAAACAGAGTTCTTTGAAGTGAATGTTCTTGGGATTTCTGACTCTCATCTTAATTCTTGCTAATTTTGTTTCTGCAAGACAAAGAAGAAAGAAAAAGCCTAAATATTTGTGACTAATCATTTCTGCTATTACAAGTATATGATCCACCTACCTCCCACACACAAAAGTTTCAGCTTCATTGTTTTGTAGACATTGAAAAGTCTAGAGTTAGCTCACAGCTACAAAAGAATTTGTTTTTTTGTTTTTGCGGTGTGTCTCTGTTTAGAATCTATCTTCTAAAATCACCTAAAATAAAACTCCATGTATGAGATGTTAAGTAAAATGGTGGGTCACAAACAAGTTAAGTTGCCATTATTCTAACTTTGTAAATACAGATATGTAACAAGAGACTTGAAGGAAGCATCCAGAAAGCATCACAAAGTTTCTGTGTTATGATTAGCTCTAATTCCTTTAAGGTATTATTTAATTTATGCAAGTGTGTGTGTGCTTGAGTGCACATGTACCAGTAGTGGGACTTGAACTAAGGGCCTGTGCTCTCCCTTGGCTTTTTCTGCTCAAGGCTAGCACTCTTAAACCACATCTCCAGCTTTTTGCTGGGTAATTGGAAGTGTCTCTCCTATTTGTCAGCCGGGGTTAGCTTGGAACTGTGATCCTTAGATCTCAGCTTCCTGAGCAGCTAGGATTATAGGCATGAGCTAGTGGCTCAGATAAATTTATACTCATTTTTAAAAGTTCAAAAGTATAATAAAGCCGAGCACCGGTGGCTCACGCCTATAATCCTAGCTGCTCAGGAGGCTAAGATCTGAGGATCACGGTTTAAAGCCAGCCCGTGCAGGAAAGTCCATGAGACTCTCCAGTAAACTACTAGAATACCAGAAGTGGTGCTGTGGCTCAAGTGGTAGAGTGCTAGCCTTGAGCTGAAGAGCACAGGGACAGCGTCCAGGCTCAGAGTTCAAGCCCCATGACCAAAAAAAAAAAAAGTACAATAAGCATGTGTTTCAACATAGTGACTTCTCAGTAATATGTCATCATTAGTATAATTTCAACTTACTAGGAAATTAATTTCAAACCTGTATAGTAAGGACTTGAAGGTGTAGCTTAACATACAGAGGCCCTGGATTGGATCCCCAGCACCACAGAGAAAGAGAGAGAGAGAAAGAGACAGACAGACAGAGAGACAGGGGGAGAGAATATTTTATCTATAGGCCTGAAATTCTAATACAATTGAATCTTTTCTATTTTTCTTCTAAACTTTATTTATGGGTATACCCACATGGTTTTAACAGCTGTAATTCTAATTTACAAATTTGAATCCTACTTTTTTTTGCAAAGCATCAAACTTATTTTAAAGATTACTTTAAAAAAAATTAAGTTGGCCAGGTGCCAGTGGCTCATGCCTGTAATCCTAGCAACTCAGGAGGCCAAGATCTGAGGATTGCTGTTCAAATCCAAATCAGGCAGGAAAGTCTGTGAGACACTTATTTTCAATTAACCACCAAAAAAACCAAAACCAAAAAACAAAGTACAAAAAAAAAAAACCAACACATGGAGCTGTGGATCAAGTGATAAAGCACTAGCCTTGAGCAAAAAAGTTCAGGGACAGCTCCTAGGCCCTGAGTTCAAGCCCCAGGATCAGCACAGAAAACAAAACAACCCCACTAAGTTGATATGACCCATTCCTGTAGTAGGAACATTTCTATTTTATTTAGTCACAAGTTATTTTAAGAAATATAGATTATTATCTCTGCATATGAAGCTTTTTTCTTCCTTCCTTTCTTCCTTCCTTCCTTTCTTTCTTTCTTTTTTTTTTTTTTTGTTCCAGTAGTGGGGCCTGAACTCTGGGCCTGGGTGCTGTCCCTCAGCTCTTCAGCTCAAGGCTAGCACTCTACCACTTGAGCCACAGTGCCACTTCCGGCTTTTTATTTTTATGCTTATGTGGTGCTGAGGAATCGAACCCAGGGCCTCATGCATGCAAGGCAAGCACTCTGCCACTGAGCTACCTTCCCAGCCTCTTCCTTCCTTCCTTTCTTTCTTTCTTCCTTCCTTCCTTCCTTTCTCTTCCTTCCTTCCTTCCTTCCTTCCTTCCTTCCTTTCTTTCTTTCTTTCTTTCTTTCTTTCTTCCTTCCTTCCTTCCTTCCTTTCTTTCTTATTTTTGTACCAATACAGAGGCTTCAAACTCAGGGCCTCACACTCTCTTTGCTTAAGGGTGGTGCTCTGCCATTTAGCTATACCTCTACTTCTCCATGTCCCCATTAACACTTATTTCTTGGGGTGTAGTTCAATGGTTGGGTACTTACTTAATATGTATATAACCCTTGGTTTGATACCTAGCCTCCAAGAAGTTGTTTCTTTGAAATAAATTCCCAGAAATGATTTTACTAGCTCAGAGGTTATGAATATTTTTATGGATCTTAATATGTAACGTATTTCCCTTTGCCCTTCAAAACACTTCATTATCATAAGCTCTGTAAGAAAGATCTGAGTTCCTAAGAAGGCTGAGAAGTGTCAAGTATTTTTTACTTAACTATTTCACATTATTTCTATTACTTAATGATGAATGATCTTTATCACAATGGCAGACACTATTCTAAGCAATTTAAGTGTATGAATACATCATTTTTATAAGAATAATTTAAGTATACACTCTGTAGAAAGTGTAAAATAAACCTCTTTAACACAAAATAAATTCTAAAACTTTCAGAAAATTAACTCATTTCAAAAGAGGTTGAAAGAAACAGAAATTTTAGCTATGAAAGAAATATTATCTTTGTTTTTTTCAGCATATTTTTTCTTTTTAAGAATTGTTACGTTAAAGGTGATGTACAGAGAAGTTACAGTTACGTATGTCAAATAATAAGTACATTTTTATTTGGACAATGTCCCCCCTTCCCTCAGCCTATTTAGTATTTGTGCATGAGGAAAAATTAATTTAAAGAAATAATGTCCCTTGTTTTTAGGAACAATTTTTCTTTAGTATTAGGAGGTTTATGTTACCCATGTCTCTTCCTTAAAAGTGACCATATAGAGGTTAAAAAGTCCACTGAAGGAAGTAGGCTGATGACTGAGAAATGACAAGGCTGACATAGTTTTAATCATTTAAGACATCATGGAATAAACAACCTACCTGATCTCACCAAACACATCAAACTGAGGAAGAAGTATAGCTTCAACATATGGAGCCTGGAGAGATGAGGTGTCGCATTCACGGGGATGATACTTGGAAGAGCCTGAGTGAGAGTTTCCACTTCGGTCGGGTTTTGCTCACTGCCAGCTCAGATCTCTAATCCAGAGGTGTGGTGACAGCAGGAAGCAGAGGGAGGGACTATGGACACTGCAGACAGGGTTCCACCCCTTCAGAATCCTTGACTCCTCCCCTTTTTCAACACAAGGTCTGGTACTTTCTACCTTACACAATTTTATGCAGATCTGAATATAATTTGCATTTGCAGGATGACGAGTTCAAAATAGTTTCATTCTTTGTGGGCGGTTTATTAGTTGTTTGGCTTGGGTGTGTTGAAATCAAGTATGATCTGAGATCTTCCCTCCACTCCTTGTGAATGAAATGACAATCCAGTTAGTATTCTGTTGGCCTGAGCTTACAAAACCACTTTTTATGTTAATTTATAGAAGGTACTACTAGATTTTTATTAAAAGCATTTCATTATGCCAAATTATAATTGCAAAATATATCTATGCTTCAGATTTTTTTAATTGTGTTATATTTACAAGTTACATGTTTCTCTTTCATTTTTCTTCATTTTATTTTTTCTTCTTTTTTGTCCTCTTCCTTCCTTCCTTCTTACTTTCCTTCCTTCCCTTCCTCCCTCTTTTTGTTCCTCCTCCTTCTCTTCCTCTTTCTCACACATCTCAAGGGTTGTTAAATGGACTAAATGAGGAAATATAGCTGAATCCTTAGTTTCATGCCTACTACCAAGGTAAGGCCTTCCATTACCAAGATAGACTACCGACCTGGCCACAAAACCACAATGCCCCCTCCTCTCAGAAGGCAGGTTAGTCTATAAACCTAGGTCTCCACATCTGAGGATTGAGGCTCAAAGCCAGCCTAAGCAGACAAATCTGAGAGACTTGTGAGCAACCACTGTGGAAAAACAACAACAAACAAAACAACAACAGAAGACACTGAGTTCATGTCTCAGAATATACAGCACCCACCACACACACACACACACACACACACACACACACACACACACACACACACACACACACACACACACACACACACACACACGGCAGGCTGACAGTGTTGATAGGAGGGATTCAGGTTGGGATTAAGAAATGAAGGATTCCTTGAAGTTAGGATGTTTCAGGTGAAAGACTTTGGTCCACACCTTGGTTTTGTGTTTTGTTTGGAGAAACTGATTAAGGGAATATAAATAGGAAAATCAAATCCATAATTTACCAAGCTTTTTTATTTCCACATGGGCTAAACCTTAGTGATTTGAAACACCCTCTGAAACAAAGGAAAACTTGTCTCACATTACTTTTAGGGAATTGTTATGGACTACATTGCTTCCTGTTGGTCGATGTACTTACCTGACAAATATTTGTTGAGTTCCTATCAGTTTTAACTACCATGCCAAGTGTTTATCTAGACAGAACAATGAACAGGTTTTTGGTGGTGGGGGAGAGGTAGCAGGGAAACAACCAGGAATAAGAATAAGAATCAAAGTCAGATGTCAATGGCTCGTGCCTATAATTCTAGCTACTGAGAAGGCTGAAATCTGAGGATCTTGGTTTGAAACTAGCCCTGGGAGGATTAATTATCAAAAAGCCAGCAGTGAAACTGTGGTTCAAGTGGTAGAGTACCAGTCTTAAGCAGAAAAGCTAAGAGAAAGTGCCCAGGCCTGAGTTCAAGCCCCAGTACTGGCGCGCGCGCGCGCGCGCGCGCACACACACACACACACACACACACACACACACACACACACATACACACGAATAAGACTCATTCCTGTTTGGAATTCTCTTCATGCTACAATTAATGGTCAGTGCATACATGTTACACTGACCACCTTGCTGTGTGCTTTTTTCTTCTTCTGATGGGCACAACCGCATCAGAATTAGGGACAGAGCCTTTCTCTTCTCGTTTCCATTACTGGGAATAGCATTTAGTCTTGAAGAATGGATATGACTGTAAAGGATTAACACAAAGAGCTAGGTGTCAGTGGCTCATGCCTATAACTAGCTACTCAGGAGGCTGAGATCTGAGGATCAGGGTTCAAAACCCAGGGAGGAAACGTCTATGAGACTCTTATCTCCAATTAACAACCAAAAACCAGAAGTGGAACTGTGGTTTAAATGGAACAGCTAACCAAAGCAAAAAAGCTAAGAAGAAGCTGAGTTCAAACCCCAGGACAGGCTCTAAATAAATAAATAAAGAAAGAAGCAATTGTTTAAAAAAAGTTTAATACAAGGAATCTTAAAGTTGTGTGTACCTGTGTGTGTTGGTGCTATTGTTATTATTGCTGTTGTTGTTGTTGTAAATCTAATCAGTGGCCTTATGTATATAAGGTAAGGGCTCCACCTTTGAGTTGCGTTCATAACCTCACAAGTGATTCTTTAGTAATGGAAGAGTTCTGTACCTTAATTGTGGTGGTAGCTGTAAATATCTACACAAGCAGTAAGATTACATAAACTATGCACACACACATATGCATAATATACATACATGTAAGCATGTTATGCTAATAAAATCCAAACGATGTCTTTGGGTTTTACTAATGTTAAATTCTTTTTATTTTGGAAGTACACTACCAAGTCAGGCACCAGTGGTTCATACCTGTAATCCTAGCTACTTAGGAGGCTAAGATCTGAGGATCACAGTTCAAAGCCAGGCTAGACAGGAAAGCCCATGAAACTCTTATCTCTAATAAACCACCAGAAAACCAGAAGTGGTGCTGTGGCTCAAATGGTAGAATGTTAACCTTGAGCTGAAGAGCTGAGGGACGGAGCCCAGAGTTCAAGCCCCATAACCAACAACAACAACAACAAAAAGAAAGTATACTACCCGTTATGCAAGACGTTAAAATTTGGGGAAGCTAAGTTAAGGGACACTCCTTGTACTATTTTTGCAACTTCTGTGACCCAATAATTATTTCAAAATAAAAGATGTTTAAACCCTCCCCCCCCCCAAAAGAGGTCAACTCATAATCACTTGAAAGAACCTTTCTTAAACATATTCTGAGGAAATCGTTTATCTGCTTCAAGATTACCACAATCCTATGCCCTTGATAAATGAACATAGTTCAAGAATGTCACAATTTCCCTCATTTATGTTCTGGCTCCCACTCCCTGTTTTTGTTGTTGTTGTTTTAATGCCTTTTTTTTTTTTTTTAACCTAGAAATCACCGGTCACAGAGAGCAGAGTAGAAAGTGGGTAGAAAAGCTTCTAAATGAAGCCGGGTGCTGGTGGCTCACGCCTGTAATCCTAGCTACTCAGGAGGCTGAGATCTGAGGATCCCAGTTCAAATCCAGCCCGGGCATGAAAGTCCGTGAGACACATTTCCAATAGTCCACCAGAAAACCGGAAGTGGCGCTGTGGCTCAAGTGGTAGAGTGCTTTCCTTGAGTTGAAGAGCACAGGGACAGTGCCCAAGTCCAGAGATCAAGCCCCATGACCAACAACAACAACAACAAAAAGCTTCTAAATGAGTGGACATAAAAAGCCAGGTGTGGCAATAAAAAGGAGCTGAGAAGAGATGGTTTTATGACGGTGTGGTTTTTACAACCAGGAAGGTGACCTCTGGCCCCACCCATTCTGGTCCGTAGGCTTTGTGCTAGTAGCTCACTCACTAAATACCTTTGTCCCTGGAGTCCAACTTTAGAACAAGTCTGTTTCCTCAATTTATATCCTACAAGAGAATTAGGGTAAACTTTCCCTGAGACCATCCCATTCTCTACCTCCGTTTCTTTTATTCATGCATGTTAGACAATCTCTCTACTATTGAGCTATATTCCTAAACCTTTCATTTTTTTTATTTTTCTGACAGAGTTTTGTTAAGGTGCACAGGATGGCTTTGAATATTTGATCCTCCTACTTTAGCCTTCTGTGTAGGTGGGATTACAGGCATACACCACCACACCTGGATTGTTTCACTTCTTCATTCTTTCCTTTATGTACATTTCTTGACTCCTATCCTACGCCTTTAAAATAAATAAATAAGGAAAAGTAGGACACCATTCCTTATTTTAAGGAGACAGTTACAGTAATGATGATAATGATCTTTATAGTATTATTGGGTGGTAGTTTTAATTTGATAGTGTTCCTGATGTTCCAAATAAAAAAGAATGCTACGTCATTTGCAAAGAAATGGATGTTGAGTTAAGTAAAATAAGTCAGGCCTAGAGAGACAAAAGATACATGTTTTCTCTCAGATTTGGAAGTTAGAACTAATTTGTAAATGTACAATTAAATGCATACAGGGTTGTATGCAAGTGCACACAAATGTATCAGTTGAGGTACAGTTTTGCAGGGGAGAATTCAAATGGTGTAATTCCTTAGAAAGCCAACAAAACAAGCACCAGCAAACAGGTACTTAAAAGGTATTGGGGGAGGAGTCTAGAGGAAGGAGATAGACAAATGAAGAGAGGAAGGGGAAATGCAGTCATACTATTCAATGCATATCCTATGAAATTAAGAAAATTGAGGGGAGGGGATTGGGTTGGAAGGGAAGAAGATGAATGATGAAAGAGTGACGTCAATCAAGAGACACTGTATTCATGCATCAATTTGTTGTACAACTACTTGACGATAATAAAAATAAAAGTTTTTTGCTGGGAAGGTGGCTCAGTAGTAGAGCGCTTGCCTTGCATGCATGAGGCCCTGGGTTCCATTCCTCAGCACCACATAAGCAAAAAGAAAAAAGCCAGAAGTGGCGCTGTGGCTCAAGTGGTAGAGCGCTAGCCTTGAGCTGAAGAGCTGAGGGACAGCGCCCAAGCCCAGAGTTCAAGCCCTGGACCCTCCTCCCCCCCCAAAAAAAGGTATCTAAGAGAGTGAGGGAAAGGGTGACATTATGCAAAAAGACACGTACTCTTTTTTTTTTTTTTGGGTCCGGTCATGGGGCCTGAACTCTGGGCCTGGGCGCTGTCCCTCAGCTCTTCAGCTCAAGGCTAGCGCTCTACCACTTGAGTCACAGCGCCACTCCCAGCTTTTTTCTTTTTGCTTATGTGGTGCTGAGGAATCGAACCCAGGGCCTCATGCATGCAAGGCAAGCGCTCTACCACTG